TACAAAACTCCCTTAGAATCATGCCCCTGGAGTTTAACAGTCATAGGATACAACTGGTCATTGAACATCAAAACATCTACAAAGCAGATCGCACGTTCTAAAAGACTGGTCTAGTTTGCATTTAAACTTCTTTGGCTAGCTCGAAGCTTACATTCTTGCGTTTCTGCAGCACTTCACGTGTTCATTGTAATAAATACGAGGAATATAATGGGTTCAATTATGAACGGCTTGTAGAAAACTATGTACTGTACATGTAGTTATTTCGAACCGTACTGATTGCAAAGCTTGTTTCGTTTTGAAAGGAAATCGTATGATGTATGTTATACAGCGTATAAGCATACACAAACGTCTATGATAAGGATTTTAATCGTCTCTTATGAGCATAACGGAGGCCTTAGATCCTATCAGCATGTTGTCCTATCCCGTCAGTTGTTTTTCTTATTTTTGTAGATTTTTGTAGGAGAAGTAGGAATGTCAAGGGACATCCTCACTAATTTATAGCTATTTTCTCAGGTTTCAAATGATTCCAGTATTGAAAAGTCGAAAAGGTTTTTGCAGAATTCTATTTGTACGTACAAACTTTTGTTTCAAAATGGCACCACATTCTTTTTTTTTTGTTTTTACAAACTATACCTATACCTATAACTTGACGCCAAAGTGTTCTTAAGGCAATCTTAATGTATATTTAACACTGATGAGTCGCGCACATGCTCTGCTTTGAACAAAAAAACTCTATACAAGTTCATACCATTTGGTCCTCTTCATTTGTTGTGGTTGCAGCTTCATTGGGGAGTTGATGTAGCCTTTCTTCATCTGAGGATCTATCTCTCTCTCTCTTGATTTCGCCTAAGGGTATTAGGATATTCAAGTCTGATGAATATCCTTGTCACGAAAATACTATCTTCCTCAAACCTATATTTTGGAACGTTGAATAACTCCGATATTCGAATTCATGGAACAGCTTCACATTTAACAACCGAACAAAATTAAAATAATTTTTGTGACATGGACAAAACAAGGTGGTTATTAAAACATACCCAAAAACCCGGAAATAGCATTCGATTTTTTCTATCACCCACGGTTTTCTTGCAATAAGGCATTTTATTTGCTGCTTATACTCGTAAAATATAAGGATATGTGTGTACTAATGAATACTCGAATAATCATTAATCTCAGAATGTTGTTCTCGATGTTTTACGGCGATATTTTGCTCCTGAAGTATATCTTAACAATGTCCAGCCATAATCAGCAAGCAAATTGACACTCCACTTACCTTGATACCATTTTTCCATAGCAGAAATGTCTTGGTGGAACCGTTCACCATGTTCATCACTTACCGCACCTAAATTTTCCGGAAAAGAATCGAGAGTGAGTTTTTAGAGACGTGTTATATCCCATTCCTTCATAAGCATTAATTAATTCACTCTCAATATCTTCATAATTGTCCGCCTTCAGATTACCTAAAAAATTTGAAGTAACTGATTTGAAAGCATTCAAGCTCGTAATTCTGTTTCATTTCGAGCACTGTCAAATACATCATCCTTCATGATTTTCCGTATTTGTGGACCCACAAATATGCCCTCTTTAATTTTTACCTCACTAAGGCCCAATCTCACCAACATTAATATTATGGACCAATGGGAAAATACCTTATCAAAATGCAATTTGACAGAAGCTGTCAAAGGTCTCTGAATATTAGTGATTTCTATTGAAATATTGAATGAAATCGTGAAAATTCGACTGTATTATAAACAAGACCACTTTTTGATTCCAACATGATGCTTTTGTACAGAAAAAACAGGACAACTTTCATGTATTTTGATATATGCTATAGGTTTACATTTAACAACCCGTTATCCCCCTCAGCGAATGGGAATGCGGCAAACAATAGGTCGATTTTCTAGCTGTTAAATTTGGCAGCAGAGTCGGACGTTTGTTAATGCATGACACTCTCGAATTTACCAACTTCAATATACTAAAAGTTCATTACATACCTGTTGAATAGTGTGGATTTGTCTGTATTTAGCAAGAAAATCGAATATAAAATACATTCCATCCAATTCCTCATCTTCCTTTACGTCATAATAGTAATCATTTATTAAGTTATGGGTTAATGAATTTCTCTCTCTCCATCCTAAAAAACAGATAATATGTGTAAGCCGTGTCAATCCCTACATCTCCCTGATGCATAGTGCAATTACTATGGACATAGACAACAAATTATGAAAAATGTTTTACAAATAACGTCTTTTAAGTCCAAAAATCATAAAAACTAGTAACGTTTATTGTTTGTCTTTTTGACTGGCGGAGATATCTATCTGTCACTCGCAGGGTTGCCAAGTCTAACGACGATCACGTCCCGTGGTGGAGGGTGCGAAATGAATCTTTTACATTTGCTGGTTTTGCATTTTTTTCGTGAAAATTTACTAGGTATCATGATTATAAGCATCTTTGGTAGACTGTTCGATCCGGAATGGGACAGATCTCCGATTTATGAAAATATTTTTGGTATCATCTAACCGTTGCAATCAGTGTGAACACTGTGACATATGATTTATAACATAACCCGCTGCCCTATCAATACAAACTTAACATACAGGTCGCCTAGCCGTGGGGATGCAGTGGTCGGGATGAATATCACGGCAGCAACTGATGATCTGGGCATGTCCGGTAACAACGTATGAAGTGAAACTCGCTAACTTCACCAATTTGAAGATTTTGTACAATTTCTTTGAAAATGATGAAATATATGTTGATTTGGCAGGGTAATGTCGCAGCCAAATGGCAGTCACCCTTTCTGACACAGTCCGGATCGAAAGATGACTCTCCTCGTGAAATGTGTTGATATAGGATCGTATCGAACATCCCTACTGTCAAAATGTATAACCCAAGGTACCCACGGAGCTATTTTGCGGCGTCATGGAAATAATTTTAAATTTTTATTTGCATTTTTTCAAGTGTTGTGCAATTTTTTTGGGAAAAATGTCACGAATAGTCTTATAAAGCCATAGTAGAGTATATTTCAACAGTTGGCGGAAATTACTCCGCTGAGACCAGGAGGCTGAAACAGGATATTAATGCACAATCTGACAACCCTTTCGCACCCTCACAAAATGGCCGCTGACAATCACACAGGTCACCATGTTGTCATTGAATAGCATGGAATTAAACCTTTAGAGTATATTTTTTGTGACTGGTACCAAGAGTTGACAGATCCCACACATGTGTCACTCCTTGAAATGCAATAATCAGCTGTATTCAAATAATGTCTAATATAAATATAACCTAGAATGTGTACTCGTGAAAAAAGAAAAATATGGCAAATTTGTAGTTTTTTTGCAGGTTTTAGGTTTGCTGGTAGCTTTAAGGCATATATTTGGGAATTTCTTAATCGCTGTGAATATAGTGTGGATGTTTGTTCAGTTCCTGAACAACGAAATATTTATGGATGTATGGATATCAAAAAACCTTAACGGTTTTGTAGGAATATCAATCTAAGGTGCCATAATGGTTCTGATGAACGGCAAGTAAATGAATGAATGTTTGGAAACGAGCAATATCTTTTGGTAGAGCCTGTCATCAAGTAGGTGCTTAATAGCTATCCGCAAGAAGTTTATAGGAAAAAACACCCAGTATCGCATAGCAATTGAAGAAAATAATATAAACATGAATGAAAAATCAACAATAGTAATTAAAACATGAATTTTATTCAACAATACAACATTTCTTTAAATTTTGACTGAATTATATGTAATTTCTTAATATTCAATAAGCTGGTGATGTTTCAATGACAAGCTGTCATCTCATACTTTGACAGTATTTTGTTTTCAACATTTCATAGCTATCGGTTGCTAAAATTTGTGGATTGGAACTTGAAGCTCATTCGTTGTATTTGACGGTCTGTTACCCTATAGGTGGAGAATAACGGACTGTTGTTGGTGGAATTGGCCCTAAGTCTTGATAATGTTTGTTTTAAATCCAGAAACCCTCTTCCATTTAGATCCATGGCTTTCACAAAATTTTTCATCAGTCCCAACTTCATATGCAAAGGTGGAAGCAACACGTTTTTGGGATCAACTAGTTGTTCATGAGCAATGTTTTTGAGGCCCGGAGTTAATACCTGTCGTAGTGGCCACTCCTTCTGTTCATAATGACGATCTCGCGCATAACTATCCCATTCACGAAGAAAACAACAATATTTGGTATATCCCAGTGGCATTCCAAGAAGAAGAGCCATTACCTTTAAATCTGCAGATGAGGCCTATCCATATTCATTATAACGGATATGCTCTAACAGAACTCGCATATTTTCATATGACCCCTTCATATGAACTGCGTGCGCTATAGGTACAGATGGATATTTATCACTGTTGTGTACCAATACCTAACTAAGCTTAGAGGAATCAATGAACAGGCGCCAATCATTTGGATTATGCTTCTGTCCTAACGCGTGAAACAAATTGTTGACATCGGAGCAATATATCAACCCCCTTGAAAAATCTGTTTTTAGATTTGATTTAAGGGTCTCAAAAAACATAAAATACACCCAAAAATTGTCATGTCACATAACCTGGGTTCATCAGTGTTATGCTTTTGTTATGGAGCAACAGAATGAGAATTTATTCTCCTTGTAGGTCATGTTACAGGATATAAAACTTATCAATGTACAATGACACTGCACGATACCGATGATTAACAGCTTAAGGGTAAAGACAAACAGAGCTGTTTTGACCGACGCGTTTATAGAATCGGCCGCATTCTAGTAATCCACACTGAGCTGTTTCTTCAGCGGTTTATGCAGTGATCCATTCGATTTGCAGAATGGATGACGTATTGTATTTATCGCTACTGTATTTGTATTGGAAAATTATTAAAAAGAAAAAAAGGAATAGAAGAATGTGGATACATCCAATCATCGAAGAAAGGCAGCGAAAAGGTCATTTTCATCCATTGTTTGCTGAGTACAAAGAGATGAAAAAAAGTTTTTCAACTTTACTAGGATGTCGCGAAGTACTTTTTACGAGTTATTAGCAGTTTGTGGAGAAAAACTAGCAAAGAAAGATACACCTATGAGAAATGCGATAACATCAGAGGAAAAACTAGTAATAACTATCCGGTAAGCAAATCAATTAGGTAACTGTTTCTCATTTGATTAAAAATTTATTCCACAATCTTTCATACATTATAAGAGTATATTTATTCAATTCATATTAAATATACTAAACTGGGAATCGTCTTCCGAAAAGTGGGAATAACAGCTTCTAACTGATTCAGCTGGTGAAGGAGATGGAGGTAGTGTGGAGTTTATCTGTTGTTTGGCGGCATTCTGAGATACTCCATACAGCTCTCGTGGATGTTGTACAAGTCCTGACTGACTGGGATTATGGAATACATTTGCTGATGTGGAGGTGGTGGTGTATCTGATGTCTGATTTGCTTTGGTCCTGGTTGCATTTTTCGAAATAGTCTGCATTATTTCAATCCTGCATTTTGTATTTAAATGTATTGGCAGTGCAATAAGTGAAGGTACTAAGGAAAGTGCAAAGTGGTAATTGTCATCTTCAGTCATCGTCTTGTTTGCTGTTTTTTTCGTAATTTTCAAGTGAATGTAATATTTTCTCTTCGACCGGGTGTGTCCTTTTTTTGCAAATTTTAGAATTATACTTTTCTTTATAGATTAAAGTGGGCGTTTCAGGGTTACTTGTATCTAATTAGGATGAATATTCATTATCTAATGAACTGGTGGTTTGTCTGGGCAGTATTAAATCTGTGAGAAATTGTAACCTCTGTATATAAACGCAAGGAGCTTTCCGATAAGCTCCAGCCCCTGACTTTCCTTTCCTTTGATGAATATCTCTTGAAAAGTTGTCCCGCATATTTTTCCACTTTTTATGCAATTCATTACCTGTAACAAAATAGAATTACGTACATAACGTTTTAATTAACTGCATTTTTTCATTTTAGATATTTGGCTACGGGCTGCTCTTTGGCCGAATTACATTATAATTTTCGTATTGGTAGATCTACTGCTAGTAACATTATCCAAGAAGTATGCGAAGCAATATGGATTGAATTAGCAGACAAAGTTATACCGCAATGTTCAACAGAGAAATGGATAGAAATTGCTAAAGTGTTTCAAACATGTGCACAGTTTCCCAACTGTATAGGAGCAATAGACGGAAACATATTCGGACTAAGCAGCCACCCAATAGTGGGTCTATGTACTACTTATAATTATAAACAGTACTATTCTACGTACTGTTTGCGATGTGCGATGCCAATTATTGCTTCACGTATATTGAAGTGGGATCATATGTTAAATCAAGTGATGCTGGCATATTCACAAATTCTAAACTTTATGAACGATTAGTTGATAATACATTGGGAGTCCCTGCACCATATGCTATTGACGAAACGAATGAAAAATATCCTTTCATAATAGTTGGCGATAAGACATTCCCCTTATCCGAAAATTTGCTTAGGCCTTTTGGAGGTAAACAACTGACACCATTGAAAGAAACTTTCAATGCTAGATTAACCCGAGCCAGAAGATATATTGAATGCTGTTTTGGTATTCTAGCCAACAAATGGCGTATATTTCATCGACCTATTGACCTCGATATTGATGCAACTGTAGTTAAAGCTGCTTGTGCGTTACATAATTTTATAAGGACAAGGGATGGCACTAGGTCGAATGACGAGAAGTTAGATGAAAATATCAATCTTGAAGGTCTAGCACCAGATACAACCCATAGAGGAAATCCATTAGCATTATCCGCTAGAGATAAATACGCTCAATATTTTGTAAAACAAAAAACCGTTTAAATAATAAAAATAGCCAATAAAAATTGTTGTTAATTTGTTCTTATTATAAACAATTATTATACCTACCTAACTGCTTCTTTTCGTCAATTGTGCTGTTTTCTTTTGCAAACAAATTTACTAGTTCCTCCCAACATTTTCTTCTCATATCCGTATCGCTGTATTCCTTTTTCCTCATATCCTAAAGTGGCGGTCGGTTATCTCCTTCGCTAATTAGCTTTTCAATATCAATTTTGTGTGCTTCCATTTCTATACAAAACGAGTCGAGACACGTACGTGTGTGAACAGAGTAATGTAATGACGCTGAAAGACTCAACGCGCCACTTGAATTAAACCGACTCGATTCCTCAGATCAACTACAAACCGAAGCTGTTTTAAAACCGCCGCATGAAACGAAACGCGTAGTACCGCTGTGTGTATTTTGTACTACGAATGATATATTATACAGCATACGACTCGGGCACCAATTCGATAAACGCGTCGGTCAAAACAGCTCTGTTTGTCTTTACCCTAAAAGAAATGAAAAACGGAGACTTTCATATGTTAAACAAACTCGTGTAGAGAGTAAAAGCGTTTTTTGACCAGATATTTCCTGAGATGTTTTTTTAGTGAAAGGATATTAATGCTTCTCCACAACTCACTAGGCAAAATATTATATATCTTAATGCAGCTAGTATAGGAGATTTTTTGGAATAGAGCAGAGTTATGTTCTAGTATCCAATTGACCATTTATTGCCTTGTTTTGAACAAATTCGAAGATCGCGCATTTGTAGACATACACTACTGATTAAGTATTTTTCACCTGCAAATTTCCATTTAAAATCATAACATAGAAAAACCATTTCAGTACGTATTTATTTCCCTTTATTTATTGAAAACCATCACCATGGAAATCAAGGTCATTGAAATCTAAATTTTGCACACACTATTATTGAGATCTCATCATTAGCCATAATAGGATTTTCTTTGCCTTTAGAATATTGTTGTGTTTTTGTATAGGAATTCTTTATCAGGAGTTGCATTTCGATTATTTCTTTTAATTTGTGTTGTACGTTAACCCATAATACAGTTTTGCTTCAGTTATCTTGTCTCATTTGATAAACTAACCGTGCTTCAATACCTTGTGGTTCAAGATTGCTCAACAAATGCGTTTTCGTTTATTTTTTTCTGGACAACATGACTAACTAAAGAGTATTCCGAGGAGATTAAAGGAGTTGCTTTGGTCTTCATACATCCGGCAAAAGTATTCGAGAAATTTCTAAACTTCAGAAGGTACCACTGTTATCTGTACACTACATTACTAAGAAATGTAAGGCTCCACATCCAATAGCCATCGTTCCCCCCCCCCCTATTACCCATTTCAATAATGACTACCACAACGTTTACACCCTGTATAAAGAAGATAGACAACTGGATCTAGAACCTGCCTCACTCTGAAGGTCCTGTTTGAGATATTTCACATTAATTGATAGGAACAACTAAGTTTATCCACTTGATTTTTTCCTATCAATGCTTCCTAGCAATGCATTTTACGATACACATAAATCAAAAGAAAGTGGTGAACGGATTGGCTTTAAAGCCTGCAATTAAAACTTTGTCACATACACGCGTCGCGAACATCGATGATACCTTAACGGACTGTGCATTACAATAATTGGAGTAAGGATTGCATTCCAGGTGATGATTAAAAATGGAGAACCCATCGAAAGGTATTTTCTAGAGAGGCGTCGAACTTTTTCCGAACAGAAGTAGATCGTTTACCATCTACATTTATGTCGCATTCAGTTAACTGATGCATAGAGGTAGCGCGGTGGTTTTGGAAAGGTACGTTTTCATTACAGCAAAATTGTCTGGACTGCGGTGCCAGAAATTTTTACAGACTTTACAGCATGTGCCTCATGGATATTTCAATTTGCAAGATGTGCTCGGCTGTTTTGTACCTAAAAAATGTTGCAGATATTCAAGAAATTATGCCGACCCCATGCTATCCAATGCTTCACCTGAATTTTCTCATATTGGCAATATTCAAAACGTTTTCTATCATTTCATTTTTTCGACAGTTTCTTTTACTTCCCACGCTACATACAGGGAAGCATTGTAATCACGAAAATGTTCGAAGACTAGGTATTACATTTTTTAACCATGTCACACATTTCTCGGTTCCGTCGATTTGTCATTCTGTCTGTCCGCTAATCCTTGTCAAGTCTAGAACTTGGAAAGTAACGGTAAGGATTTTGATGAAACTTTCACACAAGGTTGCTACTACTATGGCTAGGATGAAAAAGATTTATGGTTTTTGAAAACCAGTCAGAGACAAAAAGACGTGAAAAATAAAAATCGCTCAACTAACTTCTTGACGTTTCAGAGATTACTGATCATTTTGAAATTTCTTTTGACGGAATAAAAATTTGGGGTAGGAGGGTTACGGGAGTGAGTCACGGTCCAGCTCAATTGTTTGATAGTATATTTATACGCGCATAATCCCGGCAATTCCGCGATGTACAGGGTGTTCCTTAAGGATATCCGAATATTTAATGTTATGAATCTACATGAAAAATTAATGTTATATTTATATATATATATATACATATGTTACTTTATAAACTATGATCCAAAAATGTTTCCTTACAAAAACTCGGGGTGTTGAAGTTTTAGGAAAAAATGGAAATTAATTAATATTTTCAGAGCCGCTTCAGATTTTTCACTGATATTTAGTACGTAGTGAAAGTTAATAAAGCTGCATATTTTTGAATGCAAAAATAATTTTTAGCCTTAACAGTGGCGTGCGTACGGGTATTGACGATATTTTGTTAGAAAAAAATGGTAAGCCAATGGTTTTTTTGCCAAATAAAAATTATTATTGAATTTCCCGTTCAATTTAAAACAAATGATTTCTCTTGAGTTGCTTTCCTTTGCTGCGCCATTTCTGAGTAAAAAAATAAAAACCGTTTTATTGTCTAACTCGCAAAATTCTTATTAATTTAACTGGAAAAATTAAACACATTAGTGGTGATGAACAACAACTGACAACATAAACATAACGTTAAAACCAACGAAATTATGACAAACATTGTTGAAAATGGCCCCCTTCAGTTAGTATGCATGCTTCCGCCCTCCTTCTCATGAAATTGCGCACTCGTTGAAATATCTCTGGACTGTTTTTTATTCTATCACAAGCTGCAACTAGTCTTTCTCTTAATTCCTCTACAGTGTTAATGGGTACACTAGTGTCTTAAGATAGCCCCACAAAAAGAAGTCTAAACTGTTGAGGTCTGGGGACCTTGGTGGCCATTCTTGGGGCCCACCGCGGCCAATCCAACGATTTGGATAAACAGTTTGTAAATAATTACGAACCGCTGCATCACTGAAATGCGCTGTTGCACCATCATGCATGTACCACATATTGTTTCTTATTACTAACAGAACATCATCAAGCAGCAAAGACAACTATTGTTGAAGAAAATTGAAAAAGAAAAAGAAAGTATGTGCGTCAAGTCGTCCCGGCAAGAAGAGCCAAGAAAGTGGTTGCCAATAATTCTTGCCGTTGCGTTAACCAAAAATGTGTGTTGGAAATGGGTTTCAGTTACGGCATAGGGATTTTCTTCTGCCCACAAATGATTATTGCGGAAATTTTGAATGGCATGGCATGGCAAATTAGCTTCGTCCGTGACCATTGATTCAAATTGCGGATTTTCTTAAAATATGGTAAGGATATAACAACAATCCACTAAAATTCCCCAAACAATTTGATGGCAAATATTTAAGTGTCTAGCGATCTTCCTCGTACTCGATTCAGGATGTTCTTCGACTTCGTGCAACACTGCTTCCTCAATTTCAGATGTTCTCACACGTAGAGGTCCACCTTCAGATGTTCCTTTTCCGACAGAACCTGTTTCAGCAATACAACGATGAATATTAGAAAAGGTTCGACTATCTGGTAAAACACGATCGGGATATCTCTGGTGATAAATACGTCTGGCTTGCTCACCATATTATTTCTGCATTTGAATAATTCACCATTATTAACAAGATTGTAAAAACTGAATAATGAAAAAGATGTCACAGCGAACAGTTTTGAATAACAGAGACTTGTCAGATGTCAAAAGCCAGTGACATATTCCAGAGCAACTAGATATTGCTAAATTGCATTCTTAAATTATTACATTAATTTTCTCGGACAATAGAACGGTTTTTATTTTTTTACTCATAAATGGCGCATCGAAGGAAAACAATTCAATAGAGATCATTTGTTTTAAGTTCAACGGGGAATTCAAAAATGATTTTTACTTGGCAAAAAATCATCGGCGTACCATTTTTTTCTTAAAAAATATCGTCAAGTCAATACCCATACGGACGCCACTGTTAAAGCGAAAAATTATTTTTGCATTGAAAAATATGGTACTTCATTAACTTTCACTACGTACTAAATATCAATGAAATATCTGAAGCGGTTATGAAAATATTAATTAATTTCCATTTTTTTCCTAAAATTTCAACATCCCGAGTTTTTGTAAGGAACCCTTTTTGGACCATTGTTTATGAAGCAAACTAACATTAATTTTTCATGTATATTCAACTCTTAAATATTCGCATATCATTAAAGAACAACCTGTATATTAGACATATTTCATGCGCGGCTGCTTCGGTATATAAAAAAATATAAATTTTCCCTTACATTATTTGCGCTTACGATTTACAAGAAGAATGATAAATATTTCCGCTTGAGATATGTATGCGCATGAAGATGCGTTGGTGGTCTAGTCATCACAAACGTTGATGTTGCCGTTACTGGTTACTGGTACTAAGAGAGAAGCCTGGTCAAGTTAGCCCAAAAATGGCGTTAAGTATGTTGACGTTACACTGAATAATGCAAAGCATTCTGTGAAATGTATAAGACATTCATTAAACTAATGTTTCGGTATGATTTTTAAGCATATTAAGAATTTATTGGGAAATTGAAGGCTGGTTGATAATGAAGTCCTTGAAAAGAATAAATGTATATA